TGGTCGTTGTGGTTGTGGTGGTGGTCGTCGTCGTCGTCGTCGTCGTCGTGGTGGTGGTGGTGGTGGTGGTGGTGGTGGTGGTGGTTGTTGTCGTTGTTGTTGTTGTTGTGGTGGTGGTGGTGGTGGTTGTTGTTGTGGTGGTGGTGGTGGTAGTCGTGGTAGTCGTGGTGGTTGTGGTGGTCGTGGTGGTTGTAGTGGTAGTTGTCGTGGTTGTGGTTGTTGTCGTGGTTGTAGTAGTTGTCGTGGTGGTTGTGGTGGTCGTGGTTGTGGTGGTCGTGGTTGTGGTTGTTGTGGTGGTCGTAGTGGTTGTTGTGGTGGTCGTAGTGGTCGTTGTGGTGGTTGCAGTTGTGGGTGTGGTTGTGGGAGTTGTGGGGCAGGTTTCGCAGTACCGATCGAAAAAGCCACCCAGACCGTTGGGGTCCACCAAGGCATCTGCGCAAGAATTGAAGCATTTCGATCTCTTGCCCGGAATCCAGCAGAACCCATCACGAGACTTGCAGATTGAAAGTGCTTGTCCCCTTCGGAGAGACTGCCCGCAGACCTTTGCCTCAACTACGCCGATGATTTTGCTGAAGCCATCCTCACTGTTGCAGACGACGTCACATTGAGCAGGATCGAGCTTCAGGGCGTCGGCACTCTTGCAGTACTCTGCGCAGAACCTTATACAGAGCAACAGACTTGCCAGGTGCAATAAAAACATAAGCTGAATCTAATGCGCTGGCCCCTGGAATTGATAAGCGAGGCACCCAGATCGCTCGCAAGGGTCGGTAGGGGGCTCGGGCGGAGTGTAGCAATCATCGCAGTACTCCTCGATGATGTCGTCCACATCATCAAAGCGGTCGCTGCAGGTCTGCTCGCAAGCAGTGCATCCATCCTGTAGAAAGCTGACAATGCGCATATAGCAACCGGCTGAGGAAGGAACTTAAAGCCCAGCCTGAGTCTGAGCACAATCCAGGCTCTGGCACAGTAGTGGGCAGTAGTAGCTTGGATCACCTTGACTCAGCGACAACTCTCCAAGAGCAGGAAATTTGCGTTTGCTAACTCTCTCCTTTGCAACCTTCTGCCAAGGAGCTGCAGTCAGCGCCTGTGCAGGTGTCCTTGTAATCACAGAAGCCCCGCAGCCCGGGGCTCACCTTCAACTCGAAAATCGGCTCGCAGGCGCTCCTGCAGGCGCTGACCTCAGCTCCGCTTCACTGCGCTTTGCTGCGATGAGGCGGAGGCAGCTGAGGCCCCAGCGTCCAGGGACGGGAACAGGAGACTGCCACCGCAAATGGCATCACAGAACCTTGAACGCAAGCTACTAGGATCAAATCAAGCACATCTACAAACCTCCACTTCTTTCGTTTCTGCGTATACCTTAATCTAAAGCGGAGGATATGCCAGGCAAGTGGCCCTCCTGCGGAGCAGACCTGGTCTCCGTCGGGGGGAAGCTCCGGATCGTTCTCGCACATGTTTTCGACCATGGCCTTCTTGTCATCTTCGGATGCTGAGGCTGGAAGTGAGCAAACATCGATGATGCAGGACCGAAAGCGCGCATCTTCCTCGGAGACCGGGTTGTCCAGCAGCTCTGCGTTGGGAAGGCAAATTCGGCAAAGCTCCTTGGCATCGAAAAGGCTCTGATCGTCTCCGCAAACCCTGTCCGGCCCCGGCCCAGGGAGTGGGTTGTCCGCAGGAGGCTTGTCGCAAATGCAGATCATGTCCATGAGCTTCGCCCTGTTTGTGCAACTGGCCCGCCTCAATTCCGTCACATTCACAGGATCCAGGTTGCAGGTCGTGTCGCTAAGCTGGTCCCACACGCCCACACACGTCGAGCCAATGTCCTTGCAGTACACGTCGCAGTTTGGACTGGAGCCCGGGCCCTTCACCTTCACATATGCGACGCAGTAGTCTCCATCATTCGTGAGCTCATTGTAGAGGGTCAGGTTGCTTGGGTCTGGACCATCCGCAGTTTGTGGAAGCAGATCCGGGGTGCACTCGAAACTGTTCAGGTTGGTAGATTCCCTAAGGAAATCGCAGCCGGGACCTGCGAAAACATGCCATGCCCATGCAACCCCATGCACACGCTTTAATGGCCTGTGCTTGCTAAACTAGGTCGTCTTTTCGTATTTCACATGCTTCATGCTCTCAGGCGTAGGCGCGGAACAGTGCACCAACTACTCCTATACGCTGCCAAGGGGCTGTTGGTGGGGCCACCAGGACAACCGAGAGGGGGCGGTGCACCAGGTTCCCTGCACGCATTGCACATCTCATCCAGCTGCTCGTCCGTGAAAATCGTGTCAGCATTGCCGCCACCGCTAGCGTCCACAAGCCTTAGAGCTTCAAATGAAAAAATCTGATACACAGAGGCCGGAGGAAGCTGTAGCTGGGTCTGAAGTGCATCAAGTTGCTGACCAAGCAAGTCTGTGGAGCCACAGATGCCGTCCTGCTCCACTGCGTCGCTGATCACGCGAAGTTTCACGTTGTGGTACCAGCCTCATGCAGAGCACACGGAGCATGCTGAGAGCGCAGAACAGGTTACAAGAGGACTCCGAAACCGTTTATTGAAAGCTGAGGATGGCGCGAGCGCCTCCGTCCAGGGGCTTCTGATTCACGGCCAGTCGGAAGCAACGGTCCGGGCTCTGAATTGTGATCCCACCGGTGGGGAAGCTGAAGTCCGATGGCTCCACCAGGTTGATGCCGCTGCCCCCGACGTTGGTGTCGTTTACGTAGATGATGTCATCCCCGATTTGGATGGCCAAGTACCGAACGATGCTGTTGCTCCACAAGCCTATAGCAAAGCAAGCGCACACTGACACAGACACGCGCAACATTGCAATATCAAATTGCTTGAGGCCACAGTGCCCACGTCTCAAAACAGCCAAGCGGCGCGGCGTGAACCGGCATGTGAACGCGTTGACCTGGAACTTGTAGTGGCAAGCCTTAGATTCTTGCAACAGGTGGAAATTCCGCTTGCGGGGTGTTCTGCTGCTTCGTTAGCAGGACTAGCACTGGCGAGAGGCGCTGGACGCTGCCCACTTGAACAGGCCGACGCCCTGGAAGTCAAAGGACCCGAGGCCACCGTAGCTGGAGGCGATGTGAGGGTCACCCCAGAAATTGCACTGGGAAAAGCGATCATCGTTCCAGTCCTCAATGCTCTCGCAAGAGCAAGAGGAGGTGAGGTTCGACTTACTCAACTGCCCTGCCAGCCCAAATTGGCAGAGACTAAGCAAGAGCGTAGATCGCAGGAGCGCCATTCCTCCAATGCCGCTCCTTTGGGGGCTTCCTGCTGGATATCGTTGGATGCGGAGCCAAGAAACTGCAGGGGGCGACCTGAAATCTTCGGACCCATGTGTCGCGTTATAACTACTTACAGAGGGTTACCCTGTGCCTATAGTGGGCTTATTAAGGGGATATAATTCCGGGAAACACAAAGGACAGTGCCTGACTCCGGGTCCCTGAAAGTAAAGCTGTTTGACTTCTAGCCCTGCCCAACACTATTCATCAGTTGAGATTCTTGCTGGTGCCGATGGATTCGTCACGGCGGTTAGTCATCAATGCCACAACAGCACGCTGCAAATCAGCCACTGGTGCAAACTCTCAACCCTTAACCCTAAGTTAGGTTTAATCACCAGGAGGTGACAGTTTCCATAAACAAAGGGACCCCGACATAGATCCCTAAAAGCCTAATGTAGACCCATGATTAATAAACCCCTTCCTTTAATCAGGGGTCTACATTATGGCTAATCCCTAAACCCTAAGCCCAACCCTAAACCCTAAACCAATGTGCAGGGTGAACTTGGCCTTCTTTTCCAAACAATCGTCTACTCTGGGCGGCATGGTGAGACATTTGCCACTTCCTCTCCAACCCTAAACCCTACCTAGAAAGCCAGTTACCCGTAATTATAGGCAACTTTCTCCTAATTTCCTACTACTTTGGAGTAATGTAGCCCATTATTATGGGTAACTAGGCTTTCGAGGTAAACCCTATAGGCCCCCTTAAGTAAATTGAATATGGCTTTGGGTACATTAACATAGGATCCCCATATACCCCATATTCTATCTCCTTAAGGGGCACTATAACACTAAACCCGCAACTCCGTGAACATGGCTGGAGCATGTTATGCCACCTGGATCCCAAGAGACAAGCAAGAGGAGTTTTCCCAAAATTAGGGGTACCCTTTTTGGGGTCCCTATAATCAGGACGATCGTATTTTGTGGGTTTGTATTCGGGTCCCCCTATTTTGGGAAACCACCAAACCCCCTAGGTTTCCCGCTCACTAAAGTTATTTAGGGATACTTAGGAACCCATGAGTGTGGGGTTATTCCAATTATTCCATTACATCGTCGGCTTCATGGTCGCCTTACTGTTGGGGCCACGGCCATGTGAAACCGCACAGAGGAAATGTCCACTGTAGGTTTATATAGAGGTTATATAGGGATTGTATGGGAATAATGGAAAAATGGAAACTAGTATTTAAGGTTTAGGGTCTAGGAAGTGTCTGCAATCCCAATGACCTGGGCATTGCCAACAATCCGAAGGGTCTGAAGACGCATACACGCATCTGAAGATTTAGTGATATTTACCGCCGGGGTTGTATATGCCTTCATTCAAGATACAACTATTGACAACTACGGCTGCCCCACTTAGAGCCCCAGATGTAATATATCAACGTATCATGTACTATACTGCGCTACAAGAATCTACTATAACATACTATAATATACTATGCATGAACCTTCAAGTACATCTGCGTCAGCCGCGGCTCGTCCGCAATTTCGAGAGGCAGGCTTCCAGCGGCAGTCCTGCATGGGTCATTAGAGGATTTGGGGGATATACTTGGGTGGTGTATAGGGGCTCAGGGTTCAGGGTTTAGGCCTAAAACCTAAACCCCCCAAATTCAGGGTTTAGGGGATATATAGAGGCCTGTCAGCTCGTATCAGAAAGGGCACCCGGATATCTAGTGGTATCAATACTATGAAGGAAGCTCCATACAGATATATAGGGATAATACACGGGTTATATAGGGATAATGGAAAAGGAAATGGAAACTACAATTTAGGGTTTAGGGTTTGGGGTTACAAAATCCCGACCTGAATTCTGGATATCATTCCTTCTGGAATTTCGTCTTACATATGTAAAGGGTATGTCCCAAAAAGCGTAGGACTTCAGAAATCCTTGAACCAACAACCCTATGAATGTCAATGAGTTGTTCTGCCTCGAATGGATGGGCAGCGCTCCCTGCTCAACTGGCCTTCGGAAGTAGCTACGGCAGGTGTGGCTGGATCAAATATATTATAATACCCAGGCCCCCAAAGGGATCTAGAAATTAGATCCTCCAAAACCATATGGGAAATTATATAAGGATTATATAGGGGTTATAATGGGTCTATATAGGGGATCTAATTTTTAGATCCTCCCCGGGGTCTGGGCAGGCTACATAATGGGGTTATATCTGGATAATGAGAAAGAAAATGGTAACTACTATGTTATAATCATGGACTTCGACTCCCGCCAACGGGTTATGAGAACAGAGTCTGGGAAACAAAGCCACTGCGATTGCAGGACGACTTACATCAGGAAAGTTGTATTGGAAGCTTAAGGGTTGTCTGAGCTGGAATGAGAAGTAGTACAGCGAGGCTATACTTATGACTATTGTGGTGCGTGCGCACTTGTATACTATGCTAAATCTGGGCACAGAAGCCCCAAAGGTCCCGAACCTTAAAACCCCAAATGCTTAAGCGTAAAGCCTAAACCCTAACCGCTAAACCCTAAACCTCTCGTGTGCAAAGGCCCCAGACTGCTGTAGTTTGGCATAGTTCAAGAGTCTATATGAGCTATATTCTAGGCGCCTTAAAGGGGGGTTATATAGAGGCGTATTGCAAGTGTCATTACAAGTAAACAGGATACTGGGAGTTTGAACTGTGGATCGGTATAATCCCGACATACCCCTCACCCCTACCTACATAGCCGCCTATCTACCCGACTAGATAACCCTACAGGGTTTAGGCTTTAGGGACCCTATCTCGTCCCTATGAAGGGTCGAGGGTTTAAGGGTCAAGTCAAAAGGTTATAATCCCCCGTAAGTAGACAGAATATGTGTTATATGGGGATCTTTTTATCTTCTTATAATTTACCCAAAGCCATATTCTATCTACTTTAGGGGGACTATAAACCGTAAACCCTAAGCCCTAAACCCCTAGACCCTAAATTCCCACCCCGGCCTGCTTAGGCCGTTCCCACACATTACTGGGGTGGTGGTCAGGCATTGAAGAAACACGTCAGCCTTCACACCTGTACTGGGTAAGACAATGGGAGGAACCTGTGGAGAATGGACGTATGGGAGGTAGAGCTCTGCCTCCAGCCACCCCAGTAGGCTAAACACACATTGATTTTCCCCTACACCCCCACACATTTTCAGGCTCCTCCTAGGGAAGGTAGGAGTGGAGGCTGGGGACCTCCTGGCGGGCCACCCCGGAAGCCCCCAAAGGCCGAGGTCCCTGAAGCTGAGGCCCCTCCCCTAAAGGCCCCTGAAGGCCATGGAAGCACCTAGGCCCGGGTGGGGGTTTTGAAGAAAACCCAACTTCGATGGCTTCTTGACCACATCGAGGTTCGCTGGGCGCAGGATGTACCGCCACCCACAGATCCCTGGAAGTGGGGTGGCGCCATCGGCGCACAGATATTTAGTCCTGCACAGGTAGACGTCCTAAACACTAAACCCTTGGAGGAATTGCATGGAACAGGGTCTTCGAGTTGGGATCTTGGGTTGCTGTCAAGGCGCTGTAGCCCCTGGCAAGTGTGTAATCCATGTCATCCAGGCCATCCACGGTGCGAACCGCCGAGGCACAGCTAGCCAGCTGCAGTGAGCTATTCACCTAAAACCCTAAACCCTAAACCTGAAACCCCAAATACAAAACCCTCCACCATCAACCTTTAGCATTTAGCCGCTGAGGTTGAACAACTGCTTTGGTGGTGACAGTCGGAGCTTCTAGTCAGGCGCTCGACTGTGGCTCCTTCATCAAAAAAATCTTCAAGAGAGACCCAAACGTTGAGCCAATAAGGCCTGCAACCGCCCCCGCAGCATGTCATGATACGGCCTGTCCCAATCAGAACGCACAAGGTTCCAGCCAGCATATGGCTATAGTCCCCCTTGAGTAGATAGAATATGGCTTTGGGTATATTAAAATAAGATCCCCATATACCCTGCATTCTGAGCCCTAAACCCTAAACCCTGAGCCCTAAACCCTAATTAAGATCCCCATCTGGCCCATATTCTATCTTCAAAGACTTTAAGTTTGTACCCTTAATGTTTGTACCCCCAAGTTTTGGGTCCCAAATACCCTTATTGAGGGCCATACTCCATGGTTTAGGGACCCAAAACCCAAGGGTACAAACCCTACACGTGCAAAGGAAAACTCCCTGATATCTACTTAAGGGAGGACACAGGTACCTGGCCTCAGCTGGGCTTGGAAGGCACATGTAAGGAAGCCCAATGTTTAGGGTTTAGGGTTTAGGGGATTTCTGGATTGCGGTGAGAAAATTCCTTTACGACACATTACTATAACCAGGAAATCCTAAACCCTAAGTCCATAGAACTTAATTATGACAAGCTACTATAACCAGGAAACCCTAAAACCCAAAAACCATGGAACTCTAAGGTCTTCAACAGCAACCCGGCCTGCTAAGCCATTGAGTGCACCCACCTCATTTTCCTTGCAGGATGCCTCACATACTGTTGATACCAGATATCCTGCCTGACCTTGAGATAATATGGGGAATATAAAGATTATACAGGGACATAAAGGGTTTAGGGTTGAGGGTTTAGGGTCTAGAGATACTGCAAATCCTGCCTGACCTTAACATAATATGGGGCATAGAGGGGTTACATAGGGATATGTGGGGTTTAGGGTTTAGGGATACTAGAAATCCTGCATTGACCTA